TTAATATAATTCTCTTCACCTGGAATTCATGTACATCTTCTCTCCAGGGAATGAGTGTATATATTCCAATCCTCTTTAGTGTTGGACTCATCTATTCTAGCTCTCTTCAGGAAGGTAAGTGTCATTTTGTTGTCTCTTTACAATGAAGTCCTATTTGTTTTCTCTGTCCTTTTGTTGATGTTTGTCCTTTTCTTTCTCTCCATAGTGTGTCTTCTACTTGGGCTATATCCACTCAAGCTCCTTCATGTTATCACCAGATCTACTTCATGTCTCTCAAGATCTACTCTGCAAAGAATCCATTTGCAGAAATCTACTTAGACTAGCATGGGCCTACTAGACTGTTCTTCAAAATAGAAGCAATGATCCTGCTCCCCAGGGATAATCAACAGCACGAAATGACTCTCATTACTCTTCTCAGTGAGGAATATGTTGTGTGACCAGGGAATACTCTGTCATTTTATTTGTCATCTCCTCAGAGAGGTAAATGTCAAACTAAGTGTCTCTATATCACTAAGTCTTCACTTTTTTTCCTTCCCAGGATGAACCTAACTTTTTCCATCTGTCCTTAGGCTGGAATCCATCTGCTTAGGTTGAGATAAGAGGATCCTGTTTCCAAGCCAGCATGTTAGTGAAGTGAGAGAAGTGTTAGAGAAGTTAGTGAGACTTATCTGCAGTTACCCACCAAAGGATGAAATGGAGCTGTGGTAGAAGTGGTAGACCAGTAGCCTCAAGAAAAATAACTCAGGGGCAGCCTGCAGGCCCTGAATTCAAGTCCAGGATCTACAAAAAAACAAAACCAAAACCAATTCAAAACACAGAATGGAGCAAGACTTAACCATCTCTTCTCATCCGACAATGCCAATATTCTAGCGGTCATCCTATGTGAAGATGTTTAATTTAGCTTGCGCCATAAAGAAATGTGTTTAGTTTTTCAACTCATGACACATGGGCCTCTTCCATGTGTCTGTTGCATGAGCTGCATTGCCTTCAGGTCATCTCTGCATGTAATGCTTCTCTTTCCGCTTTGGTAATCAAATTAGATCTCTTGTGAATGTCTCCACAGCATGGAGGCAAATGTCTTCTGCCCTTGTCAGCAAGGAATGTCCAGTCCATTTGTCCTAATCACGAAAGGCTTTGACTCCTGCCCACTAGGTATAGAATGCAGACTTCCATTATTCCTGAGGAGAGAGTGCATGTCAGTATGCAGTACTTCCACTCCGTCAAGTATAGGCAAAAAGGCCTTTGTGTCCATCAAGTGTGACCATGGTATATGAGTAGTCATGCTAGCTTCCCATGGAATATGTCTCTCACCCTCTCTCAATACGGAATGTCTCATTCCAGCCTTTTGTTAAACTTTTGGACAATATCTATTATTAGTGTGTTTTCTAATTACATAGAATCCTGAGCTACTACTTTAATACATTTATCATTTAGTCTGTGACATTTACATGGATTTTGCTCTGAACTCCCTAATGAGTACATTTTCATATTAGGAAGACAAATAATTTTACTTTTTTTTTTAATTTTTAAATATTTTTTATTGTAAAGATACTTTACAGAGGGGTTACAATTACATGAGTAAGGTAATAAGTCCATTTCCTATGGAGCATTATTAAACATCATTTGTTTTTCCCTTACCATGCCTTTCCTCTCCACCTCCCAAACTCCTCCCTCCCACACCCAAAGGTGTAAAGTTCATTTTCAACATAGTATCTTGTACATCTCATTATTACAATGGGTCCTTATTTCAGCGTTTTGCTATTTCCCTTCTTCTACCTAACTTTTTTAAAAAATGTATATATAAGATGCTGGGCATTGGAATCAAATACAGTGTAAACAGAGGTTATACCATGGGAGAAAAACATACAAAAGAAACAAAAAATCACCATAGTACATTATAAGTACATTAAAAACAACAGCAAGTATTGTTTCTAGCATATTTATAAGATATTTCTTTGTTGCTTTGTATCTCCCTCCCCCATGGTATAACCTGTTTTCACTGTATTTGATGTTGGTATTCCTTGTGGAGAGAAAGAGCAAAAACAAATTGTTTAAATAGGGATACAAGTGGACCCATGATATTATGTCAAATAATGAACTATACAACTTTGGTGCTGGGAAACAGGAGGGTAAATACCGGAAGGGATGGGAAGGGGAAACAAAAGAGGAGGCAACAATGCTTGATAAGAAATGTACTCATTGCCTTACCCCTGTAATTGTAACCCATCTGTACGGCATTTTCACAATTAAAAAAAAACAAAATTTACAATTTTGGCAAGTCGGCTGGGGAGGGGAGATGAGAATGGATAGTAAGGGGAAACAAAGGAGGAGACAATAATGATTGATAAGAAATGTACTCATTACCTTGCCCATGTAAATGTAACCCCTCTGTATGGTATTTTCACAATATATAAAATAAATAATTAAAACAGCAAGAAAGACAAAACTTCATGTGTCCCTATCTTCGGGTTCATTTCACTTAACATCAGATTATATAGTCATATGTACATAGCTTTTGACCTTTTCTGCTTGTCCTAGACATATACTAGTTATTGCAGATGAAGAAACAATGGGACCTATGTTTCATTGGGCCTGGCTTACTCCACATAATATAAATTTTTCCAAGTCTTTCAATTTCCTAACAAATGGGGCAGTGTCATTCTTTCTGATAGAAAGAGGCATAGAATTCCTTTGTGTGTGTGTGCGTGTGTGTGTGTGTGTGTACATACACATATACATACCACATATTCTTCATTTATTCATCTACTGAAGGGCATCAGGTTGGTTCCATATCTTATCTATGGTGAATAATGCTATGATAAACATAGTTCTGCTGGTAGCTTTAGTATGGTCTTGTTTGTGATCGTTCAGGTAAATGCCTAAAAGTGGGATTGCTGGGTCATAGGGGAAGCTCTATGTGCAGTCTTTTGAGGACCCTCCATAATGTTTTCCAAAGTGGTTGAACAAGTTTACACTCCCACCAACAATGCAGTAGGATTCCCTTTAACACAAACAATTTTAAATGTTCATTTTATCCCTAGAATCAACAGGTATTTTACTCAGACATTGCACAATCTAACTCTACTATATGAAAAACTTTAGAGTATAACTATTTAAACAACTTTTTCAAAACTGCAAGAATGTGTAAGATCTGATTCTATAATTTTAGAGAATTCTTAGAAAATGATGTTATTTGTCTTTGATCTATTTCCTTGAATAACTTTAGTAATCATTTGGCTAGACATACTTGAGATAAATGGTAAGTGTAACACTAACCATTAATATTTTACTAGTGCCACATATCTAGGCTCCCATCACATCCAGGTGGTGCACAATCATGCCAACAAGAGAAATGCCTAATTACAAAGGAGCAAACCCAAATAAGTATATCTGTAATTGTTTGCAATGACTAGTACATGTCTAGGACAAGCAGAGATGGTCAATTGCTATGTACATATGACCACATGAGATAATGTTAAGCAAAATGTACCCCAATACAGGAATACAAGTGGGTTTTTCTTTCTTGCTAGTGTTTTTGATGTACCTACAATGCATTATGTGATTCTTTTGTTTCTTTTGTATATTCCCCCACAGCATAACCCCTGTTCTCAATGGATTTATGCAGGTGTTCTGCATCTTGCATATACATTTCTGTAATTTAGGGAATGGAATGGATACTGGGGAATGCTTAAATGGGAATGCAGGCTGACCCATTGTGACAAAGAGATGTAAAGTACATTATGTTGAAAACCAGCTTTACAATACCAGGGGGATGGGGCAGAGGCGGAGTTGGGGAGATGGGAAGGGAAGGGAAGGTAGAGTGAAAACAAAGGAGGAGGTAACAATGCTCTCTATGAAATGTACTAGTTACAATACTTGTGTAACTGTAACCCCTCTATATAACTTTTTTCCATTATATATATATATATATATATATATATATATATATATAAACACAAAAAATAAATAAATACACAAAAAAGGAAAAATGCCCTAACTACAAAGGAGCAAACCCAAAGTAAAAATGTCTTTAATTAAGTGGATACCTATTATGAACATGTTATTTGAAATTCTTATGCTAGTCTTTATAAAAGAATACATTAAAATTAATATTAAACTCAGTAAGTCCAGACCTGATGTTTTACAATTAATAAATAAAAAGACAAAAAAGTAAAAAGCAAAAAACTCCTGTGAACTTTGAAAAAAGACATCTTATCTAACATCTGTGTGGACAAATATTTTTCATTCTTGTATTTTACAGTACTAGCAAAATATTGTATCTTTCTACAAACAACAAAAAACAAGCGTACAGTATTTGAAATGTCTCTGAAAAGAATGCCAAACTTTTGAAAGTACACTCAAAATGTTTTCCAGGATAAGGTCATTAAAATCTTAGGTTAAAATTGCTGTAAGTATGGTACTTATAAATAAGTTAGAAACAATAGCAAGTAAGAAAAAAAGCCCCTTGTATCCCTATGTTGGGGTTCATTTCGCATAACCTCATCTCATCTGACCTTTTCTGCTTGTCCCAGATATATACTAGTTATTGCAAATAAGGGAAACCATTGGACCTATGTTTCTTTTTTCCTGGCTTACTTCACTTAATATAACGTATGTATAGGGTACCGTCTGATATTTTATTGTTGCTTTGTATGTTCCTCCCCCATAGTATAATCCCTGTTTTCACTGTATTTGGTATTGTTATGATTTTGGGAGGGGAAGGGTAAAAACAAATTGTTTATACAGGAATACAGATGGACCCATTGCAACAATGAGATGTACAAGACAGTATGTGAAAAACAAATTTAAATTTTGGCTGGGGTGAGAGGTGGAGGGAGAGGTGTAGCTGAGGAGATGGGAGGGAAGGGATGGTAGGGCAAAAACAAAGTAGGAGACAGCAATGATGGATAAGAAATGTACTCATTACCTTGCTCATGTAACTGAAACCCTTCTGTACGGTATTTTCACAATAAAAAACTTAATTTAAAAATTGCTGCAAGCAGTTCAGGCAAAAAAATGCATATTGCTTTGTTTTAAAAGCAAACAATGTCAATAGTGTTTAAAACATGATTATCCATGAGAAACTATTGTGAAACACTTATGAATACTTCTTGGGAACTGTCACAGTTTGGCAAGTAATATTATAATGGTTGAGACCCGTAACAAAGAGGTAATATACGGTGTGGGGGGTAGTGAAAAATCTGAAATTATCTTAATATGATAAAAGTACAAAAACCCAGCTTTCTTTTTCTTTTTTTGATTATTGATTTTTTTGTGAAAATACCATAGAGAGAGGTTACAGTTACATGAGGAAGGTAGTGAGTACATTTCTTATCAATTATTGTTGCCTCCTCCTTTGTTATTTCCCTACTATTCCTGCCCACCCATCTCCACAACACTCCCCCACACCCAGCCAAAGTTGTAAAGTTCATTTTCAACTGAGTTTGAAATTTCTAGCATCACAACAATTTGCATATAATGTAGTGCTATGAGCGTTTGTCCAGAAAAACTTCCAAAGTCTTGAAACTAGTATACATAAACCAGGATGGAATCTATTAGGATAAATGATTTAAATATGACCAGAATAGCTCATCAAGTACTGCAAGATACTCTCACCTACATCACTGAATCATAAGCCAGCCTAGGCAAAACGGTGTTCTCCATAACTGACTGAGTAACAAGCTCAGATAAGGCAGATCAAACCTCAGAGATACGCAATTGCCCAAGAAACGTAGGTTGCATGAAGTCTCCTTCAATGTTTTGGTTGCCAACAGTTAATGTGACACCAATGAAAATACAGACATTTACTTCCCCGGGTATGGAATATCTCCTTCCAGGCATTGTGAACGTGGAAGATGTTGCCTTCAGTTTGGGGAAAAATGTAATGTGCCTCCTGCAGCTCTCAGAATGGAAACTGGCCTCTCCACCTCTGGAACATGGAGGGTGTATGTTGCTGAGCCTCCACCATGGAATGGAGCTCTTCCCAGCCTTGCTCAAGGGAAAGTGCTTGTTCTCTGTCCCCTGAGCAAGGATAGATTTTCTTTGTCTGTCCTCAGCCTGGAAAGTGTTCGCTGCACTTGTCTTCATCCTGAAGTATCTAGCTCTACTATCTGAAGTCTTCTAGCTCTCCTCAGGGTGAATTTACTTCTTCCATATTTGAGTAAGGTGAATGTCAAGTCTCTGCCTGCTCTGCCCTGAATCCATCTCCTTCTGCTCAATCACTGCAAGGAGTACATCTAGAGTTTATTCTCCTTAGCATTGTATCCAGAGGGAATGGAGTGCATCTATTTTAATTCTCCTTAGTATTGAAGCCTTCTAGTCCAGCTCTACCCAGGAAGATAAGTGTCATTTGGCTGTTTCTTTAGCATGAAATCATATTTGTTTCCATTCCTCTTCAATTGATGTTTTTACTTCTCTTCTCAATCATAGTTTTGATTTCTTCATTATCTCTTCAACATGGGATCCATCCATTTGAGCTTCTTCACAGAATATATGTCTTCTCCAGATCTTCTCTGTCAGAAATCCATGTGCAAATAGCTAGACAGTGTAGCATGAGTCTCCTCAAGTCCTGATGTCCCTATGCACACAAGTATGAAATTTATGTATCTACTCAATGAGGAACATGTTTAATTAGCATCGAATATACTCTCCAAATAATGAGCTTTCCTTAATGAGGTAAGTGTTAACTTTGTGTCTCTTTATCATGAACTCATTTTTCCCTTCCCAGGATGAATCCAATTATTTCGTTCTATCTTCAGGTAGAAATCCATCTGTTCAGGTTGAGACCAGAAGACCTTGGTTTCAAGCTAGCTCACACAGAAAAGTTTGTGATGCTTATCTGCAATTATCCTGTAGAAGATGGAAGTGGATCTGGCCCCAAGTAGTAGGGCACTAGCCTTGAGTAAAAAAAGCTCTGGGGGGCTGGGAAGGTGGCTCAGTGGTAGAGCGCTTGCCTTGCATGCATGAGGCCCTGGGTTTGATTCCTCAGCACCACATAAGCAGAAAAAAAAATCTTGAAGTGGAGAGTGCTAAACTTGAGCTGCAGTGCTGAAAACCAAATCCAAATGAAAACACAGATGGAGTGAGAGTTGATCATCTCTTCTCAACGTGCAATGCCTGTAATTGAGCTCTCCTCTAAATGAAGGTGTATGATTTACCATCCTCAGCAGGAAATTTGTGTAATGCTTCTCAGCAGAGATGGGTCTCTAAGTTTTCCCTGTTGCATGAGATGCATTGCCTACAGTTCTTCTCTACATGCGATCTTTCTCTTTCATCAAGTTAGATTTTCTTTGAAGAATCCATCAGCATGTATGTTTCCTCTCTTTGTCCTGAATGAGGACAGCTTTGATTTCTGCTCTAGTAGTAGGCATTGAATCCAAGTGTCCCAGTTGCCCTGTGCATTGAGTATGGTTATCATATAATAGTTCTTCTCTAGCATGTTGGCCATGCATTTTTGGTTTCCATCAATTGTGACTGGTGTGTGGGTACTCAAGGCATCTTCCCTTGCAATGTGTCTCTCAGCTTCCCTGACTATGAAGTGCCTCAGTTACAGCATTTGTAAACATGGAGCATGTCTCCTGACGTTGGGGCAAGATACATTGTGCCTCCTGTAGTTCTCCTGAGAATGGCCAGTGCTTCCTCCATCCTGTGGAACATGAAAGGTGTGATGCCAATAGTCTCACCAAGGACTAAGTCTCTTCCAGTTTTGCTCATGTGGAAAGTGACTTTTCTGTCTCTCCTGAGCAAGGAATGGATTTTCTTTGGCTGTTCTTTTTGACCAGTTGTTTTGTACCTGAAACGCATGTCTTTAATTTGTAGAGTGAATCTACTTCTTCCAGATCTGGGATGGGAACTGTCAAGTCCAGGCCTTTATTAACAGGAATCAATCTCCTCCTTAGCAAATCAGGCATCTAGCGTAATTTTCCATAGCTCATATGCATCTACTTCTATTCTCTCTGGAACGGAGTGCATGTATTCCAATTCTCCCCTTTGTTGAAACCATCTACTCAGCAAGGTGAATGTCTAGTTCCCAGGTGATTTTCTCAGGAATCAACCTGTCGCCTTCTGCTCAGCCTGAGATACATATACAACTGGTCTCCTAGTCATAGAATCAATGTATTTCAGCTCTCCTCAGGAAGGTGAGTGTCACTTTGTTGTCTCTTTAGCATGACATGATATTTTTTCCTGTGTCCTCTTGACAATTTTCCTTGCTCTCTCTAGAGCATTGAAGTGATTTTTGTCAGAGTCTCTTCTCCATGGGATGTATCCTCCTGAACTCCTTCGCAGGTTTATGCCTTTTTCATCTTGCCTTTCAATAACAGTCCCTCTGCAACATACCCATAAGCATAGCATGGGCCGACTCTAGTCTTCTTCAACATAGAAGGCTGTCCCTGAGGATTCCTCACATGAAATGCATCTAAATGCTCTTCCCAGGGAGGGAGGCATTTTTTATGTTTTATTCAGTCATTTTTAGTTATTTTTACTGTAAAGTTACTGTATGAAGGGCTACAGTTACATGAGTAGGGTAATGAGTACATTTGCTATTGAGCATTGTTACCTCCTCCTTTGATTTTCCCCCACATTCACTTCCATCCCCACCTCCCCAACTGGAGGGAGACATTATTTTCTGCCATAGAATACTTTCTCAGAGTAGTTGTAATCAACTCAGCTATCATTCTCAGGAAGGGTGTAGTTGAGCACTGTTCAACATGGAATCCATCTCTTGCATCTCACCTAAGCTTGTAGTGCATTTGTTCCAACAGTTCTTGGAAGAAATGTGTAAAGTGCAGTTGTCTTTGTCTGCTAGATACCTTCGGTCAGGATCTCACCATGGCCTGTGTTGAAAGCGGTCCCAGTTGACAAGCTATGTGTCCCTTTCAGCATCGGTCAGCATATTGTCTGGCTGGTAGAGTGCTCCTTGTCATGGAAAAGGCCTACTGCGGCTTTGATCCCCTTGGATGTTGTGGAGCTCCACCAGGTGAGCACAGAATGGTTGTGTCCACTCCAACTCTGTAATGACAGTCTCCTTTGTCTGGGAGGCATAGTACTCTACCTCTTGTGGGAATGAAATGAATGCCCGCATGTTCATTCAGTGTGCAATGTGTGTTTTCTAGCTTCACAAGTATGGAATGCATGTGCTGCAGTCCACTTAAGAATGGAGTAAGGATGAGAGGCACCAGTGGTTCTTACCTGTAAACTAACTACTCAGATGGCTGAGAGACCTGATGATTTGGGTTTGGACACCCCTTGCCATAAAGAGGGAGAGAGATGTTTTCTGCAATTACCCACTGAAAGGTTTGATATGGGGCTGTGGCTGAAGTGGTCGAGTGCTAGCCTTGGGCAAAACACTTCAGGTACAGCACCCAGGCTCTGATCTGACCAGCATAAAACACACAAAATGAAAGCCAAGATACTATTGAGAAACAACCTTTACTTCTGAGCCATTAATGCCCCTAACCAGGCTCTCTTTTTGAGTGAAGGTGTCTAAATTAGCTAGCTTCAGCAGGAAAGTTTTCAAATCATTTTCAGCAGAGATGGATCTTTTCAGTTTCCTTGTTGCATTAAGTACATTGTCTGCAGTTCTTCATGTAATCTAACTCTTTTGAGATAGGTTTCCTATGAAGGATACTATAGCATCAAGGCAAATGGCTTGTGTCCTGTCAACACTGAATATCTCCTAAATTTGTGCTAACTGTTTAAAGCTTTGAATCCAGCTCTACAAGGCATGAAAGCCAAGTCTTCCAGTTCTGGCTTGGATGCAGTGAGTGTATGCATGGAGTACTTCTTTTCCAGGTGGTGTATACGCTGTATGTTGTTGTCAATAATGACCCTTGCCTTGGGTTCTCAGGGCACCTCCCTTTGGAATGTGTTTCTCATCTTCTGTGAATATGGAATCTCTCAGGCCCAACTTTTGTGAACACGGAAGTTGTACTTCCTAGTTTGGGCAACATGTTATGTTTCTGGTGTAGCTCTCCTCAGAATGAAAAGTGCTTCCTTCATCCTCTTGTGCATGGTGGCTTTGTGCTACCAGTCTTCTCATCATAGAATTG